ACTAATCTTTCGTAAAAAAAAGTTAAACGCATCTTAATGGGAATTAAATTGTCGTAAAGTTTTAAGGAATGAAAATCATACAATGTAATTATTAAACCTTGTCCGGACTGTAGCGTACACGCTTACTCACACGCTTACACACACAAATACACTCTTACCCACACAAGCTTATATATAAACACACTATCACACACACATAATTATACACACACACACATGTATATATATATATATATATATATATATATATATATATATATATATATATATATATATATATATATATAATATATATAAGCGGGGGGGGGGGGCGCCAAATTGAAAGTTCGCCCCGGGCGCCGGGAAGGGTCGCTACGCCTCTGACAGGGAGTTAACCAAGAGAATTGACAGAGAGCGGGAACACAAAATTATTGCTGACAAGCTGGAATCCAAACTTTTTGCCTTGGACAAAACCCACAAGAAAAAGTGTGTGGTCCCAGAGTCCAAAGAAAGCGCAGCACAATACAAATTCACCTTCAAGAGACAAAAATAGTTGTATTGTATTATATGCTTATTAATAAATTTAAAAAAAACATTAAAAAAAAATAAAAAAAAAAAAAAAAATAGATCTATTTATAAATCTATTTCACTATCAGACTGAAGCCAAGCATATGTTCACATTTGAAACTCTTAGTAAGTTTAACTATATTCCAAAGATTAATATTTAACATCTGCCCCCCCCCCTTCCCCTCCCCCCACCAATTTCCTGGCTTCTAGTAAAGTAAAATTACTTAGTCTTGTATGTATTCATATTTATGTACTCTGGTAAAGTAACATTCCCTTGTCTTGTATGTATTCATATTCATGTACTCTAGTAAAGTAAAATTACCTAGTCTTGTATGTATTCATATTTATGTACTCTAGTAAAGTAACATTCCCTTGTCTTGTACGTATTCATATTTATGTACTCTAGTAAAGTAAAATTACCTAGTCTTGTATGTAATCATATTTATGTACTCTAGTAAAGTAACATTACCTTGTGTTGTATGTATTCATATTTATGTACTCTAGTAAGATAACATTCCCTTGTCTTGTACGTATTCATATTTATTGTCTCTAGTAAAGTGTCAGAGTCCTTGAGCTGCATAAGAAACCAGAGTTGTGTGAGCGACATCGTGTTCAGGATTCTCTTCATTAAGACCAGAGATAGCTTGACTAATTATAGCTTGGCCTGCAGTAAGTACAATCTGTTGTACCATCAATACAATGACTAGCAAGTACAATCTAGTGTACCATCAATACACTGACTAGCAAGTACAATCTAGTGTACCATCAATACAATGACTAGCAAGTACAATCTAGTGTACCATCAATACACTGACTAGCAAGTACAATCTAGTGTACCATCAATACAATGACTAGCAAGTACAATCTAGTGTACCATCAATACAATGACTAGCAAGTACAATCTAGTGTACCATCAATACAATGACTAGCAAGTACAATCTAGTGTACCATCAATACAATGACTAGCAAGTACAATCTAGTGTACCATCAATACAATGACTAGCAAGTACAATCTGTTGTACCATCAATACAATGACTAGCAAGTACAATCTGTTGTACCATCAATACAATGACTAGCAACAGCATGATGAACAGCCTATAATTTAACCCAAGATCTAAACAAAGCATAATGTAGGCACATTGATCCAACAACTAATCACAATATAATCTACAAATTAATCGAAAAACTAACTATATTATAATCTACAAATAATCCAAGAACTAACCACATTTCAATCTACAAACTAATCTAAGAACAAACCACATTATAATTTACACATTGTTCCAAGAAGTAAACAAAATTTAATCTACAAATTGATATAAGCACTAGCCACATTATAATCTACAAATTAATCCAACAATTATCCAAGACTAAAGCAGTATGTAAACATTAAGCGAACAACTAACCACTTTATAATCTACACGTTAATTCTAGAACTAATAACAGCGTTATGTACACATCAATCCCTCAAACAAGAAAATAGTGGTGGTTGTTCAGAGATCAAAGATTTTTAAATCTACACTAGCTTTTTTTTTTCAATTTTTTAAAAAAAGTTTTGTTGTTTTAATTGATTCAATTAATAAGATGAAGCAGCATTATTACAAAATTCTTTCGCTTAATGCACTTTCAGGCTTTAATCAGTTGTATACTTGAGTTTCTAAACATTATATATTCTAATAAATTTAAAATATTAACCAATATTATCAAGAAAGTATACTGGAGTTATTTTATTGTCTGTTATAAAAATAATGTGCATGACCACCAATTACAACCCTTGATGTACAGTAATCCAGTTGTAAAACAAAATGAAGCATCTCTTAACGATGGATGCGCAATGGAAAGAAAAATGAAATATATTTTTTTTTTATTCAGTGCACAAAGCAATCGAAAGGGAAATTTTGAAATGCAAATTTAAATTTAAACATGTCCTAAAATATTAATAAGGTTTCATTATTAATATTTGACCTAGGGCTATAAATAATTTATTAAAATTATTAGCAAAAAGTCACAACAATTAAAGAATCAATATCAATGCTCATTCTTTTGTTATATTCAATTTTAAGAAACTGTTTTGTTTTTATCTTTCAGCAAATCTTACTGACACGTTCTACCCTACTTGTGAGTTTGTCTTTGTTTTCTAAATTTTTTACTGTTGTACAAATAACCTATAACTAATTTTTATTAAAACATCAATCTATTACATTGTTTTCAGCCACAGTTCATATTAGTGTATGAGTGGTGTGGAAAATTAAGACTTTCTGGCTAGCAGTCGTAAACCATTCAACCACACCATCTCCACTATGTTTGCTAATTTAAATTAAAAGAAATTTGATCCTATTCTCTGCATTATTTGGTCACAGATTTCTCCTGTAAAAAGTTAGAAGTCACTAGTTTCGTATTATAATCCTCATATGTCTTAATTGTATATGTATTGATCGGTATCCACAATTAAATAATTTTTATAATTTTATCTCCCTACATGAACTTCACAATACAGCAACAGACAGTAAGTATTCTACACCAATTAAATTTGTATCTATATTTTTCCACATCTATTCAAATATAATCCTTTAATTTTCAAATAATGTAAAAAGTAACATATAGTAACATATAGTCAGAGTTTCTTACAGGCATCTTTTCAGGGAACATAGCCCCCCCCCCCCCCCCCCCCCAAAAAAAAAAAACTTCTACAGTACCACTAAACAAAAAAGAATTTATATAGAAAATATATACTTTTCAATTTAGCTTCCCCCCCCCCCTGAAAATTTTGGGACCCCCCCCCCCAAAGAAATAATTCTGTAAGAAACTGCATATATATATATATATATATATATATATATATATATATATATATATATATATATATATATATATATATATATATATATATATATATATATATATATATATATATATATGTATAAATTAATATATATTTGTATACATATATATGTATGTATTCGTATATATTCAACAAAATAACAAAATTAAACTAAAAACCACAGTAATTGAATAGCTTATTTATATGTAAATATACACAAATAGCTGTTTACAGAACACTAATTTAGATTATAATTTGTGCCTACCTAGCATGCAAAACAGGAAAGAACAATTGCCTGTTTGCCTATGTGGACAAGTTGTTTGAAAGAAACAGGACATCAACCAATGCTACAGACCTACCTTCAGCCCTTTGTCAGTAAGTTAAACACCCAGTGTTTAATGCCATATTGAACTATGCTAACATCAGCCAAATTCTGTATTAACAGTATGCTGATATACGTTAACACAAGTCTTGTTTTGTATTAAAAATATTTATATATATGCTAACGCAAGTCATATTTTATATTAAAAGTATAATGATATATGCTAAAAAGATTCATATTCTACATATATAATATGTGTCAAAGGGATAGTAGCTTTTTAGTACATATTATTTCTGGTTGGTGTCTATTTAATTTTTTAAACAGGTGTTTTGTTACCATAGAAACACACAAATATCTCTTTACCTGGTGTGTTTAACAAAAAGCCTACCTAATTAATATGTTACTTTAGTCATCTGCTGAGACTGTATCTTGTTACATTAATTATTTTAATTTGATGTATTCACTTCACTGTGAAACATACTCAAAATACCAGTATAGGGTTACAAGGGTCAAGGAATTGTTACATTTAACTTTTTATTCAAATTATTCACTTAACTCTGATGAGGTCCAAAAGCCTATACCTAGAGTTCAAGGAATGATACCTCACCAAGGACATTCACTTACACTCAAACTTTCACTAATATGTATATGTAGGTAAAGAAGTAAATTTCCCTGTAACCTTAATGTGCCCAGGGTATGTGAAGTAGAGTTTGCCTGATTCTTTGCCCAGCCTCCTTTCCTTTCCTTATTGTGAGTCAGGTTCCCAGCATAGTCCCATGGAGTCAGGGTCATTTTATTGACTAAAACCTGGGATTTGAACTCGAGACTTTCAGGTTAGCAGCCCAATTGCATTACCATTTGAACATACCTTCCCATACTTAAGCCAATATATATTTTGTATTCCTGATTAGGGATCTATCTGACTACATCCAGTGTCGAGCTATAATAGCAAACTGTACCAACGTCGCTGATGTAAGTTGCTTTTAATTTTCTGTAAACATTAAAACACTAAATCTAGGGCTCTTAAAATCATTGTTTTCTCTTGACTAAAAATTTTAAACTCATAATAAATTATTTGTACTTTAAATTTATTTCTCAGTACCAAAAAGTATGTTAGAATATTATAAATTCATACTTTAATGGGGTTAAAATTTTCTACTTTATTAACTGTAGAAATCCTACAAATAAATTAATTTTTCAAGATGTTAGTTGTCATAGTTACCAAGTTTACCCACCAAAACATTTTAATGGAACACATTATGCTGATGTATCTTAAAACACTGTAGATAAATTATTGTCTCTTGTCAAAAATGTTTCCTGGCGTATGCCTATATTCTACTTAAAATTGAGTGGACATAGTGTCCATGTTTTCTATATCTTGTAGGATCATGATTTTGAAATCTTAGTGTGATAGTCCTAATAGATTTTAATCAATTTTTTATTTAATTCGAATATCAATGTATATATGGTTACTTTTTTTTTACAGGAATTTAACTATTAACTAAATTTTTTTCTTCATTAAATTTATTATATAATATGACTTCACACTACTAATATTCTGAGTAATAATATTTTCAATATAAAATTTGTTTAAATAAAATAAAATTTGAATGTCTTTTTACCATAGTCTTTGTATACAAAAGTGTCTTTTGAATCTGGTTTTATAACTTGTGTTTTAAATTAATTGTATTTTCATTTGTAAGCTTACAGCTATAAAATTAGCTGAAGAAGCACGAAGTACAAAGCGCACATGTAGTAAGTGCTAATTAAATTGAATCTTTAAAAATACATAGAGACAATTAAAACATTTTGACATCAGCTTTACATATATTGGTGCACTTTAAAATTTAATAACATTTTAACCTGCATGAAATGTGCATGCTTATTTCTAGGAAGTAAATAATTATAGGCCTGATAATTTCGCTTGTAAAATTTGTTTTTAATATACAGTTTTTACACATTTAAAGAATATAAGATAAATTATTGTCTGACATATTTTTTTCTCTCATACATTTAGCTGTACACGCCTTACAAGCAAATCTTCAATTGGAAGGTAAGTCGAGCATGTAATGTTTTTTCTTTTCTTTCCTCACATGCCCTCTGTCTAAGCTTTCCCACTCCCCACAGTCTCATGCCACTCTGGTCAGCTGTTCCCAATTCCTTCATATCCTTTCAGTCTCCTTCTGAAGGCTATGTTGCCTTGCTGCCTGGGTTGACCCCTGTGTCACCATGTCTGCCTGGGTTGACCCCTGTGTCACCATGTCTGCCTGGGTTGACCCCTGTGTCACCATGTCTGCCTGGGTTGACCCCTGTGTCACCATGTCTGCCTGGGTTGACCCCTGTGTCACCATGTCTGCCTGGGTTGACCCCTGTGTCACCATGTCTTCCTGGGTGGACCCCTGTGTCACCATGTCTTCCTGTGTTGACCCCTGTGTCACCATGTCTTCCTGGGTCGACCCCTGTGTCACCATGTCTTCCTGGGTCGACCCCTGTGTCACCATGTCTTCCTGTGTTGACCCCTGTGTCACCATGTCTTCCTGGGTCGACCCCTGTGTCACCATGTCTTCCTGTGTTGACCCCTGTGTCACCATGTCTTCCTGTGTTGACCCCTGTGTCACCATGTCTTCCTGTGTTGACCCCTGTGTCACCGTTTCTTCCTGCGTCGACCCCTGCATCACTTGCCCTAGGGGGGGTTCCACTCCAAAGCCTGTCTGGCTCTATTTCCAATTTCCATTAGCAGTGTGCCCAATTCATCACCATTTCCTCTCAACAATTAGCTTTTCTATTCTATGAAAAGTAGAAAAGTTGAGCATATATATATATATATATATATATATATATATATATATATATATATATATATATATATATATATTGCACACTGACATGTATAATTGCATGGTCTAATAAACAGACAGATAAAGACATATCACTGTGTACAATATAAAAATTATTTTAAAAAAAATTGTTTTTGAATTTAAAAATTGCAGTTCGGAAATTAAAGTTTAACTCATTAATCCAACAGACTGTTCAAGAGGCGTCAGCCAATGTGAGACCATAGATGACGGTGTGAGCGCCACTGATCTCTGCCCGTTAGTAACAGATTTCTATTCATTTTCTATTGTACTTTAAACACAACTTGTTTTCACCTGAAGAAATCAACTGAATTCTTGCATTGCTGTTCAGAAAAAGTATTCATGATTTGTTGTGTATCTTCTGACCCAGTAAAACCCAGACAGCTGTTAAGTGCATCCATGACCTCCACTGTGTCTCAGATGTGATCCTGCGCTTAACCCAGCTGCAGAAGTTGAAGCTTCTGGCAGGCAAAACTTGTGGTATGTGCTCTGTTGGCTAGGCTGTATTCTCTTGTCTATATTATCTGTAAATAACAAGCTGTTTCTATTTTATTAGACGTTTTGTATTAGATCTATGTATAAGTAGACATCTTAATTTTTTTGTTTTTTTTTTAATGAGAAGAATTTGTTTCTATATTAGACAGTTTGTTTAAAATTTCTTTTATTTTATCTAAGATTTACAAAATATTTTAATTAAATACAGAAGACAGTAGTGTCTGTCTAGAAGGTTTGTCAGCTGTAAATTATTATGTTTATTAAATATAAAATACTGAGTAATTTACCTACTTTTAATATTTGTTTAAACCTATTAATATCTGCCAATTATAAAGTTGCTTTAGTTAAAAATGTCAACATTTACTTCCCCTATTTACCAAATACCCACATTTACTTCCCTAGTTACCTAATGTCCCATTTACTTCCCCTGATTTTCTAATTTCATCTTGTAGCCTACTTCTTAGTATCCAAAATTGCAAAGGGGAAGTAAATAATTGTTGAACAGCGTGAAAACAATGAATTCACTTCACCTTACCTGAAAACTAATTTAACATATTTCTTTTATTATTACCATATCCTTTTTTTTCTAGTTAAAGCAAAATTTATATTGAAATAATTGTGAACTAATTGTTTCATTTCCTTGTGCAGATATAAACAGTTCATTCCCCTTGGGTATGTTTTAACTTATCTTATAGAAATACAACTGAGTATAAATACAAATATTATTTTATAGTGTTGTGTATTTGTAATTATAATTTTAAATCATGTGTATGTTAAATAACAAATTGTAACAATGAGAAAAATATTGTTCAGTGTAACATCAGTGGTATATCAACCTGTGATTCAAAGTATAAGAAAAATATTGAACATACAAAATTTGCTTTGTTTAATATTACACCTCAGTTTTGTCCTAAAAAATTGTTTCCATTAATTTTATAACTCAGTTCTATTCTAAAATACTAATCAATTAACTGAATTTTATCATTTAATTCTCAAAACAATGTTACATATTTATTATAATTTTAAATTTAATTTTCTTTTTTTTCAATGCTGTAGAAAAAAGTACAAGTGGTAAGTTCATTTATCTAAATTTATTATTTTTTATCTCTGGATATATGTTTGCATATTTAAAATCATACACATGTTTCAATTAATTAAATACAAATTTAGGTACTTTCTTTAGATTTAAAATCAAGCATTGTAATGCTCTATAAAATTCTAATCTGTAACTCTTTAAAATAAATCTGTATATATATACAAAAGTTAAGTAAAGAATCCTCTTCAGACCTAGCAATCCATTGGACAGATGAAGTAGAGTTTCATATATTTCTTGACCTTTAGGAAGGGAAGGTGTGGTCGGCACTTTCCCCAGCCACCTATACTCTCCCTAACGAATTAGATACCCATCAGGGACATTTTTCTGATTGGGAACTGGATTCAAACTCAAGGCTTTTTGGTTAGCAGGCTAGCGCGTCTACTGCAAGGCTATGCCATCCATATATATATATCTATATATATATATCTATATATATATATTTATATATCTATATATCTATATATCTATATATATATATATATATATATATATATATATATATATATATATATATATATATATATATATATATATATATATATATATATATATATATGTATATATATATATATATATATATATATATATATATATATATATATATATATATGTATATGTATATATATATATATATATATATATATAAATGTTTTGTGTTGTTTCATCAGCTTGTGATGTAGGAGTCAAGGGATGCTTGTATCCCTATGTGACCAATATTGTTAGCACTAATGTAAGCTCAACGCTCTGCAGGTAATTAAGTAATTAAATGGTTGTATTCTACTGTGAGTTTTATTTAACACTTGCTTTTTTAATGTGACATTTTAAAAAATAAATCAAAATGCAATTTTAAATAAGAAATAAAAATTGTTTGTTTCTATATTTCTATCTTTCACAAGTAAGTTAAGTTTTTTTTAATTTAATTTTTTCTGTAGTTGAAAAATCTGAATAAAATCTTTTTTTTTAGGAAGGTAAGAAAGAATAAAATTGTGTCTGTGAGAAAGTTTTGAAGGTCTAATATATTATTATTGTTGAAGGAGATTTCAATGTTTTTTACAGTGAGTTGAACAAGTTTGTTGGCTGTAAGCGAGCCATCAGCGACACTTGCAAGTATACTTCTAGCCAGGTGAGAGATAATTATCAACAAGTATTTTAGATTCACTCTCTACAAAATATTTTTTTAAATTTTGTTTTAGTCAATTACATTATATTTTGGAATATCTTCTTTTAATATACATGATATTTATAAAAGTACTCACCAACATTTGAGGTTATTTTTTTCTTTAATTGATGAGTTTTTAATTATTCAGATAATTATTTTGAGATAATTTGACAATTACAAAAAATTAGCAATTCTAATAAAATATATTGTAGCTTGTTAAAATATAGCCTACTTATTATAACAAGGTAGTATATTGTAAAACGTTTTTAATTATATAAAGAAACCTCTTTAGATCTGTATGTTAGGGATAGTTTTTATTATTTTATTATACACAGTTTCATTTCATGTAACCGTATAATATTTTATGTTCTCACCAATATCTATTGATAAATTCAAGCTGACCACCATGGGGGATAATGAGAAAACAAGGATGAGACTTGGAACAACATGTTGTAAGTTGGCTTAAATATTTTATTTGTATTAAATTTGTGTTTTATATTTGATTTACAATTTTAAATTTGTGTTTTAAATTTTTTTTACAATTTATTAAATTTGTGTTTTGTATTTATCTTTTTATAATTTAATAAATTTGTGTTTTATATATTTTTTTTAATTTATTAAATGTGTGTTTTCTATTTGTTTTACAATTATTTTATTAATTTTTTTTTAAAATAGGTTTTAAATTTTATTAAGTTTGTATCTTATATTTATCTAACAATTTATTAAATTTTTGTTTTATATTTGTTTTAAAACTGTTAAATTAATATCTTTGTACCATTTGTTAAAGCTCTCAACAAAGGAAGTTTTATGTCTGGAATGAGTGCCACCCTCTTGATCACAACACTCCTTACCACCATTACCATGTTCATCAAGATTTAAGTGTAGCCACTGCTACTTAGGTGTAGCCACTGCTGCTAAAGTGTAGCCACTGCTACTGGACTCTCATTTCATCCGCTCTATGGATAACTTTGGTGAATGAACCATGTAGAATAATGATAAATGTTTTTAGCTGCTTTTCTTATACTTTGATATCTATATGTATTTTCTAATTGTCATAACCCTATATTTTATTTCAATTGGAGCGAAATGTGTTCGAAAAATGCAAAATATTTTATTTGGTAATATGAAACTTTGTTTGGAAAATACTGCCTTGTGCAGTTTTTTCCAAACATGAAGTAAAAGCAAAAATAGACTACAATTTTATATTTTTAATGCTTTTTATTTTTGAAAGCTCTATAGGATTAGAATTTAGTATAAATGTGATATTTGTTTTAAAAATACAATTCTATTATTGTATATTAAACAGAATTGCACTTTTAAAAAAAATTAACTATATGTTTTGAAAGTGGCATAATCGTTAGAGATACAGTTACAAATCATTTAATCATAATTCCTCTTTCTTTTTAATAATTACTTTTGGTGCATAACTTCCATTTCTAAAGTCTTTAACTTTGTTTACCTTTAACTCTAATGGGTAATTGACTCACTTTAGGGAAACAAATTGGCTAGGCATAATGCTGACCACACTATCTTCTCTAAGCCGAGGTCATTGAAACAAATGAACTCTACTTCATCTGCCTTATGTATCTTGGGTACAAACGAGAAAAGATGATGAATAAAGGGACTAGTCTATTTTGCAACACCCCTTTTGTCTTTAATTGCCAGCTCAAGATGTGCTCAGTGGCTAAGAATAGGAGCTTTATATTCACTCAAATCCACAGCTAGACCTGTGTGTTTTTATATTGCCTCTGTCCAACTGCCCCCCTCCACCATCCCAGTGCGTCCCTACGCCTAGTTTCAACATGAGGGACAGTACAGTCATTGGATAACCTATTGTCTTGAGCCATGATATCGAACTCTTGCCTTGTGTGGTAGAAGCGAGAGTTCTATCACTAGACCATACCGACACCTTATAATCCTTAAAGAACTAGTCTTCAACTTGTTATACCAAAACTAGACTTGTATCGTCTTTATCTTTATCATCTTAAATAGTCTAGTCTTAACTTTTTATACTCAGACTTGAATAATCGATAACTGACTATAACCTCATCTTAATTAATGGACTAGTCTTAAATTGTTATACACCATATACTATATAGACTTGTATCGTCTTTACTTTTATCATCTTAAATAGTCTAGACATAACTTTTTAGACTTGAATCATCTTTAACTTTATCTTAATGGACTAGTCTTTAACTGTTTATATTAGTTTATAACGAAACCAGACTTGAACTGACTTTACATTTAGCATAGAGTAAGCATAGACTATTCTTACCTTTTTATTGTCTTTAGACCCTTTTAGTAAAAAGTGCACTCTTGTCTTTAAACACCCAAGTGATCTAGAATACACCTGTTCCTCCTTCTTTTATCTCCATTACCTCTTTATTTTCCTCCAGAAATACACAACTTCTTTCATAGTATCACAATGTATTTCCCAGTTTAATAAACAATTTTTTGTTACCTCGCAATTGACACCCTAACAGAGTTTCTTCCAGTTCGCCCCCCCCCCCCCCCGACAAATTTTTACCGCCCCCCCCCCCCCGAACGAAATGAAATTTATATAATTTATATAGAAAATATATACTTTTAACAGTGTCCGCCCCCCCCCCCCCCCGAAGAAAGTTTACCGCCCCCCCCCCCCCCCCCCGAAGATTTCAAGTGCCCCCCCCCCCGGAGAAAAAAGTCTGGAAGAAACACTGCACCCTAATGACCGGACTCCAGACAGCTAAAAACCGATGTCATTATTGGGTAATTAAAGCCCCAAATGTGCTAAAACTCTTGTAAAAAGAATAGAGGGTAAGAGAAATAGAAGTTTTGTACATACTAGCAAAACTAATATTGTTTATTTTTTATCTGTTAATTTTTATTTGTTGTGAATCTGCAAAATTATATGCTTGTATTTAGTTATGTGTAGCGTCTAGATCACGGGTTCTCAATTATTTTCGATTTTTTTTAATTTGAAAAAAAGACATGTAATACTATTTTTAAAAAACATTTCATTATTATGCGTTTTTTTTTTTAAATTTCTTTTTCTGTACATGGAAACCGTGATCTATAAACTGTTAATATTTGTTAATTTTAAACGTTTTATGATTTTTGTAGCGCAAATTTAATGTTAGTAAAGAGGGCTTTAAAATAAATATTGGCTTTAAAAGTTGGTGTATTGTATTTTAGAAAACAATTTTTGTTATTTTCATTGTTTTACTTTCCATGGCCATTCCGTTAGACTTCAAGGAAGGATTGAGTGCTGTTTTATTTTAAAATATTTAAATTGATGAAATTGAAACGGCTTTTCAACTACTTTTATAAAATACAAAAATATGACAATAAATGTAGTCGATGGTTCCAAAACAACTTTAGTTTTTACAAATGTAACTATAATTTTATCATTTGCCGTATTTCTGTTTAAAGATTTAAAAAAAAAAAAAACTAGTTTGATTGCATAGAATTTTCAAGTCTATTGGTGTAAACATGTACAGTGTATTGTACAAATGCAATAAAATAAAAAGACTATCAAATGTGTTTTGTTTTACTGATATCCTCCAACAAGCACACATCCCACCACATCTTAACTCCAACGTGACATAATGTCTCCACTAAAATTCACATAAATTGTAAACGCTCATTTGACCTCTGGAAACAATTCACAAGACTCTGGGGTCAAACAATACAATACACTACCACTCAGCTCTATCGAACATTTAAAAATTAACAGCCAACAATGGTAAACAGTTCACTATCGACGGTTGGCTATAGGGCTGGTACGTAGGTCACCAACCAGTTCTACGGCTCAATAAAACCTGCATGAGCCATAGAACTGGTTGATGACCTACTTACCAGCCCTTTTAAGTGGTTGCTTGTATTTATTATTGTTATCTCCCCTTAGATTCTAAACCGTTTTTAAATATATTTTTTTAAATAGATATTAATTTTTTATGGCATTATCATCGAGGAAGAAGGAATATTTTAAGTTAGAAAAAAAATCGCTGCATTAGAAGTGGGTCAAAACAGAGTTACAAAACTTGCAACAAAACCTTAAACAAAGACACAATCACTTTGCGAACTAAGTAAATGCTTGTAACAAGAAGAAAGTATGAGGCTATATCGAGCAGGAATCTGACAAGGATTACGGAAAAATTTGTAATAAAAACGCCTATAGGTTGTAATGTATCAGATAGTTTTAACAACCATTAACGTCAGGACTAGGCTTAGGATTACGGTCGAAATCAAGAAAGCTCCTAGGGCTAGTCTTACTTTGTTGTGAAGCTAGGATTGGCTTAGATTACAATGATAATAAAATGGTATTTTGTAACGACAAAAAAAAGTACACAAGAAGACATTTTTTAGCGTTGCGCTAAAAAAAAGTTTCTTTATGCTAAGTTGTTTTTTACTTTCTCGTATAAGAATTATAGAGGAAGTAAAAAAAAAATCTAGATTTTCACAAATCCCACAAATCCCAAAACCCCAGTATTATCTTGATTCCCATTCTTACAGCGACAAGTGGATCGTGGTGACCAGTGTGTCCCAGCCAACAGATGAGCTCACGTTTGTAATAGATTGGAAACACTGACGACGGAAACCATGCTGTTTGTATATAGAACGTTTATTGGGCCTCAGCTAACATGATGGAAACCGGAACAGGAAGTAACGATAGATAAATACAAGGGACATCACTCAATAACAACATTATAAATATAATTAATACAAGAAGAGTGAGTTCCCTTGACTTCACAAATCTCAATATATTACATCCCTTTACCCTTAGTAAACAACAACACATCTCTCAATAGAACAATTGATAGTATCATAAAATCACCAAATATATTGTAACATGAACATTATGGTAGATTACACCCTTACAAACAATGCACAATATGCTACAACATAATTAAGATACAAAACAATGATGTCAAAGTCCTTTTGACCTTTAAAATCATAGGTCTAACTTATCTGGGACTTTGATTGTCCTGTTTGACCTTCTCAGTGGCTTTTGATTTGGTGACTCAAGATTCTGACCATCTGGATTCTCTATCTCAGGAAGTCTTGGATTTAAATCATTAATTCCAGAATTTACATTTTCTGAATCTAGACTACTTGGTTCACTCATATCAACAGAACTTGGTTGTGGAACAAACTGAGTTGGCGTGAACTGTTCAGATTTGGTGGGATTGACAGATTCACACTTATTATATGCACAAGTTATTTTTAACTGGTCTGCGTGTCTACGGACAATAAGTCCATCATTTGTTTTTACTTTATACGACACAGGTCCTGTACATTGAACAATTTGACCTGGTATCCATGTTTCCTCTCTCCCATAAGTTCTCAGATACACATTATCATTAACTGCAAATTCTCTTTCAATGGATGTTTTGTCATGATTTACTTTTTGTGTATGTTGATGTTGGGAAACAGACCTTTGAACAGTTGGATGTAGTAGGTCAAGATGAGTTTTAATTTTCCTACCACATAGCAATTCGCATGGTGCAACACCTGTTGTTATATGAGGAGTTGTGCGGTATTTGGCTAAGAACCTGTTTACTCTTTCTCTGAGAGAAAATTTGTTACCGGTAGTCATTTTTACCATAGCGGTTTTGAATATGCCTACCCCTCTTTCAGCCAAACTATTCCCAGCAGGGTGATAGGGTGATGTGGTTATATGCTCAATACCATTTGCTACACAAAACAGTTTAAACTCATGAGCAGTGAAACTAGACCCATTATCTGAAACAATTTGATCAGGTAATCCATGAGTTGAAAATATTTCCTTAAGTTCAATAATGGTATCACTTGCAGTGATTGTGTTCATGATTTTAACTTCTAACCACTTAGAATGTGAATCAATAACAATTAAGAACATTTTGTTCATGAAGGGTCCTGCGAAATCTATATGTATACGTTTCCATGGTTCGATTGGCCAGTCCCAGTTTTGCAAAGGTGCTGTAGCTGGTTGATTTGAATGTTGTGCACAGCTTGAACAAAGCTTTACATATTTTTCAATATCAGCATCCATATGTGGCCACCAGAACCACGATCGTGCAAGACTTTTCATTTTGGAAGAACCAAGATGAGTATCATGTAAAGTTCTTAAAACTTCTTTTTGTAACATTTTGGGGATAATAACTCTTGACCCCTATAGTATACATCCATCTTCTAGACTTAACTCTGCTTTTCTTACTTTATATGGCTTTAAGTCATCATTCACTGACTCTTCAGGCCAACCATTGTTACAGTACTCATATACTTGTATTAAGCACTCATCTTTTTGTGTTTCTCTCTTAACATCATTCACATTTATATTGGAGTTATCCATGATAGTGAAAGGAACAAATACATCTTCTGGTACATAACTAAGGCTTTGGTTTTTTAAAGGTAATCGACTAAGACCATCTGCACTATTCTCAGATCCAGGTTTGTATTTAAATTCATAATTGTATGCAGTTAGTGTGATAGCCCATCTTTGAATCCTTGGTGAGGCATGCTCAGGTAGGGGTTTGTTTTCTTTAATGGCTTTTGTTTTCTCTGGTTGAGGTCTGAGACCTTGCTTGCTTAAAATATAGCCAAGAAAACTAATTTCTGTCAGCATGAATTGACATTTATCTTTGTTTATCTTTAACCCTTTTTCACCAACTATTTTCAAGATTTTATCAAGTGTTTTAAGATGTTCAGTGTCATTCTTACCAGTTATGTACACATTGTCAAAGTAAACACAAACATTTGGAATATCCTTAAAAATACTGTCCATGACAGTTTGGAAAATTCCAGGGCTAGATAATATACCAAAACATAGTCGTTCATATTGGTAGAGTCCTTTATGTGTGTTTATTGTCGTATAGACTTTTGAATCTGGATGCAGTTCTAGTTGAGTGTAAGCATGACTAAAGTCTAATTCAGTGAATTTGTCTCCTCCTGCCAAATTCAAAGAAATGCCCTCAATGTTAGGAATAGGGTACCTATTTAGCTCTATTTGCTTATTCAGTGTGGCTTTATAGTCTCCACAAATTCTTACAGAACCATCCTTCTTTAACACTGGCACAATGGGCGTTGCCCAATCGGAATAGTTTACCTTCTTTATGATGCCATTAGATTCCAATCTACTTAGCTCATTTTCAGTTTTATCCCTCATTGCATAAGGTGGAACTCTAGCTTTGCAGTATCTTGGATTTGTGTCTTTAATGCTTAACTTCACTGTTCTATCATTTAGTAATCCTGAATTACCAAAAACACCTTTATTTTCAGATATAACTTTATCTATTGAAGTAAGACTAGATTCTCTTGCTTTGTTCACTGAAAATATACTCTCCCAATTTAACTTAAGATCAACTAACCAGTTCCTACCTAGTAATGGTGGTCCATTTCCTTCAACCACAAGAAGAGGAAGTTTAACACTTTGACCATTATAGCTGACATGAACCATACACTCTCCTATTACCGGAACATTGTCACCAGTGTATGTTGTTAGACACTTGTGACATGGTTGTAGAGGCACTGATCCTCCTGTGACAGCGTCAAAGTCCTTCTTTGTGATGACTGTTAGAGATGCTCCAGTGTCAAGTTGGAAGCTGATGCTCTTACCGTTGATATTAACTAGTACATTGATGGGAGCATGACTTATTGATTTCACAGAGAACAGGTTGAAATCCGGCTGCGAATCAGTTTGAGCATTTTCACAGGTAGAGTGGTTCATTGGTTGGGCTAGGTAGTCTTGGTGAGAGTTAACATATTGCTGCCTTTGGTTGCTGTACTGTCTTGACTGGCTAGATTTAGCAACAGAAGAAGACTTTGCAAAGCAGGCCTTGGCAATGTGACCTTGCTTACTGCACTTATAACAAGTTGCTGACTTGAACTTGCATCGATGAGATGCATGGGGACCTTTGCATCGATGACATTTTTGATCATTATTACTAGATTTAGATCTAGGATTTGAACGTGCAGGCTGTTTAGCATAAGTTGAAATGCTCTGATGGGGTTGGTGTTTGTTGACTAACCTGCTGTTTACTGCATGGATCCCTGAGAGTGCTAGAGATCTCGCCGCATCGGATGACTGCTGGAATGAAGTTGCAAGTTGTATTGCTTTTTCCAATGTTAGATCTGACTCGAGCAGCAACTTTCTTTGAACATCAGGGCTATTTACACCTGTCACAAACTTTTCACATAGTCTGTCAGACAGCGTGTCCCCGAATTCACAAAATTCACTTAAATGACGTAAAGCAGTGACATATTTTGATATTGACTCGTTTGGTTGACGAGTCCTACCGTCAAATCTGGCTCTACACAGGAACTTTGATGGTACAGGCGCATGGTGGTCTGTTAGCAGTTTGCTTAGCTCGTTAAAGCTCTTGGTAGTTAGACTAGCTGGTGCGCATAAGTCCTTTAATAGCCTAAATTGTTGAGGCCCTATGACTGTTAACAAAACAGCTCTCTTTTTGGCTTTTATCGTCACGTCGTTAGCTTCAAGGTAAAAGCTTAACCTATCTAGATAATCATGAATGGTTTCATCATTCGAATCAAATTCTTTTATTTGGCCATACAGCGCCATTATCCTAGAAATACTTAGCCAATATGCTCTAGCAAGCTCTTTTTAAAGTAAGCATGTGCTCTTTTAAGTCGATTGATTTATCCTCGTCGCCAGTTGTAATAGATTGGAAACACTGACGACGGAAACCATGCTGTTTGTATACAGAACGTTTATTGGGCCTCAGCTAACATGATGGAAACCGGAACAGGAAGTAACGATAGATAAATACAAGGGACATCACTCAATAACAACATTATAAATATAATTAATACAAGAAGAGTGAGTTCCCCTGACTTCACAAATCTCAATATATTACATTGTTCCTGGCCAATATCCGTGGCTGGAGGCTGGTCGTGGTAGGGGATAGGATCTCCCCCGCCAATTGGAGGTACTGGATCATATAATTAGGGTCGAGCAAACAAACAAACAAGCAAACAATCAAACAAACAAACAAATAAACAAACAAACAACCAAACAAACAACAGATTATAAAATGTCCAGAGACAACACTTAAAAACAAAGCAACCAGACTGAAGAGGAACTCGTGTTTAAATCCACTCAATGTTCCCTCTGATACCCAAAGCTATCCGAGTACAGCGATGATACCTCTTTTTGCATGCATATTTTTTCTGCAAATCAGAGTTGTTCCCCTCCGCCCCCTGACATGTTTTTCTCCGGGAGGCGGGGGGGGGGGGGTTCACTTGAAAACTACGAGGGTGATGGGGGAAGGATAACAGGTTAAAGTATACGTATTTTCTATATAAATTATATATACATTATTTAAATTTTATTTCGTCTGGTGAATGTGCTCCGGTGAAGGGGGGAGGGGGCTGTCCCTCAGGATAAATATCTGAAAGAAACACTGTATTTGATTTATTTTTTTGTCACACTATCATTCCCTCTCCCTGATTCTTCGCACCCCCCCCCCCTTCTGTATCACGAGCGAGCGTTCATACGCATCCACCTTTTTTCAGACTCCTAGAGTAGTTCTTCTTATACGCCAAAAATCTTATAGGCCTTTATTTATTAGTTTTTCCTTTAATTTGACGCATTAATCGAATATTACTCATAGTGTTTAGCCTACTAATTAAGTATATTTTCTAATTCATTGTATGCTAATGTAGATGTAATTCGTAAATAATATCTTACCTTTTGAACATTAACTACTGGACGATGGTCAGTTTGTCGTGCTGTGATTACCTAAGCATAGAGCATCAACGGCGTCTGGGATTTTCTTTGACTGATGGTCTACCCTACGGACACTACGCCAGGAAGAACCTTGGCTACCTGTACGCGATCAAGCACGGTGCCAGATTTATCTACGAGACTGATGACGACAACAGGTGGGTTCTAGATTGTGTTTATGGTTAAGATTAAACTTATAACAAATTTCTAATGAAGCAAGTTGAATATATACTTTAAGATGAATGATTTATTAGTCAATATATAGTGAAAAATGTTATCGCCGACGTCATTATAACATTTGGCTTGAGTCAGGATGTCTAGCAATTTGTTATCAAATCGAACTCACTTGGTTTCAATTCTGATGACAATAGAACAATATCTATTTTAATTTATTAAATATTAAAATATCAGTAACATTAATAGAAGATTTTGAGAAAGCAAGTTTATTTACTAGCGACCACACTATCAGTTGGATGAGATGACGTTGATGAAAGTTTTCAAACCCAAACGCATCCTCCATGACGTGAACTACACCGACATCATTTTTTTGCTCGTTGTCCTATTAAATTTTACTTTCTTTGCTCGGGGCTAAAACGCGGTTTTCAAAACGATAAAAAGGTTGTCGACCTTAAGCATTATCACATTAGCTTTGCAATAACGTGTGGTATTTTGAAGTAAAAATTTTCTACTCTTGTTTTACTTTTGTTATTGGTTTTGTAAACTCTGACGCTTTGCAATAACGTGTGGTATTTTGAAGTAAATATTTTCTACTCTTGTTTAACTTTTGTCATTGGTTTTGTAAACCTCGACGCCCAATTTTATGTTTTTCATTGATCAGACCCCTAGACGGACTGCAAGGATTTATTTTAACCCCCCAAACGCCGGGTCTCTTTTATGACGGTGGACAGGTTTTTAACCCTTACAGACATTTTGGGCAGTCGACAGTGTGGCCGAGAGGGTTTCCTTTATCCGCCATAGGAAAACAACAGGCACAGTTTTACAAGTAGGCAAAAATAAATCTCCCTTTTACATGCATAAAATATATCGGAGATTTTTGTTAAAATAATGCAAAATATTTACAATCTCATTTCAAATGGAGAAAAAAACATTTCGAAATTAACTCTTCGTTTGCAAATGGGTTTTATCAACCTGCAATGAAAGACAATATCTAAATGGCACAAAACTTTTTGTTTTATTTGCTGAGTCTTAGCAGGAGATGTTTTCAGTGGCGTCACTAGATCGGGTGTCATCCGGTGCGGTACGCACCCCACCACCCCCACCACCACCTGGCTACTCCTCTGATTATTTTATTTACTTAGACAACAAATATAATATGATTTTATTTTTTTTAATCTAGAAGTTTTAATACGTAGCTTATTAATATTTAGATTAAAACATACATTCTTTACTTTGAAAATTAACTTCAGATTAGGGAGTCGGTGGGACGCACCTCTAATCCAACAGGGCATTGTCAACGGAGATCCAGACGTCGATGATATTTTTAGATTATCCAGAAAACCCGACTCGACCAGGTTGAACGTGACCTTTGACCCCGCGGCCCCTCCCGTGATGTGGGGCGAGGGCGTGTTCAGCCCGTTCAACTCCCAGAACACCCTGTTCCACCGCGATGCATTCTGGGCGCTGTTCATCCCGACCACCACAACGTTCCGGGGTCTGCGACATCTGGCGGGGGTACTGGGCCCAGAGGCTGTGTGGGAGGTTGGGGGTAGGCTGGCGTTTTTCCCGGCCAACGCTTTCCAGCTGAGAAATTTTTATTCCTACTTAGACGACGCCAAGGACGAGAAGGATATGTATTTCCAAACGGAAAGACTCATACGGTTTTTAACCAACTGGTCTTGTGATAAAAAGTTTTCATTTTTTCAATGCGTGCGTCAACTTAGCTCTGATATGGCCAGTAATAACTTTTGGAAACACAAAGATGTTCAGCTAATACGTTTATGGTTAAACGACATAGTTTCTTTAGGTTACCAGGAACCTACGCGTCTTCCCTACCAAATAAACATAACACGTAACACAAACGAAAGCTTTCACGGATATACTAACCGTTCACAACTCACGAACATTTCTTTTGTTCCGTCTCAACAGCAGCGTCCCAATTTGAATTCCGAACCCACGGAAAACCTATTTAATCGCAAATTACTGAAGATCATGAACATGTGTCATAAAAATCGGATGCCTTTCCAAGAGTCGCAAGTTCGTATGAAAAACTCCAGCTTTTTCTCCGATATGTTGCTGGTTAATGTTTTTAATTTTCCTCATTACGGAAACGTTCCCTATCTTGACGCCATACACAGTCCGGTATTCCCTAATATAGTTTATTGTGGTGACAATATGACACTTTTCTTGCAGGCAACTGAAAAACTGGGTAAACATTTCACCTTCGTTGAAGCGAGTGTGAAAAGCGGCTATGTCGGATACCTATGGGCCATCAAGGCTATGGAAATGGGGTACAGGGTTAAAGGTTATTTGATCGCTGGCGATGACGTAATTTTCAAGCCGTGGTCACTCCTTAAGATGAACATAAGCAATGCCGGCGTGACGTATGAAGGCGTGAAAATGTTGATAAATATCTCCAATGTTAAAGACAACTGGTATTGGTGGGGTTTACCTAATGGAAGAATGGTAAAGGGTGGAAGCAGGCGTTGTAACTGAAATAGCACTGTAAACAGAAAGTGATATTTCAACGCCAAGGGTAGACAAAGGTACAGAATATAGTCCAAGTAAAGACAGAACACACGGTTTTTGATATTCAAAACACCACGTCTCGCCCTGACGGCGTAAGATCGTGGGATGAGTTCGAGAAAACTATTTTAACACACACAGTCGAATCCGGCTTTGTCCAGTACGATTACAGCGATTTCTACTACATCCCGTTAAAACTAAAAACGGAAGCCACGTGGTATCTGACCCAGTTCTACAACAACGATGTATTTTTAGAACTCGCGGTCTCCATGGTGCTGCGTGGACTCGAACCCAACACCAGCTTCAATTTATTCCACGGCACAAGTCTAGGAGGTACGGACAGACTGCTCTTGTTTAACTACTACCACCAACACGCGTATTTTCTCCACGCTGCCAAACTCACATACTAGAACATCGTCTACGGCTACTGTAACATCTACTTCCCCGAGCTCCTGGACAAACTGTTTAACATCACGCTGGTGTGGTAGAATAAAAGTCAACATGATTATACGCTCCACTGTATATCCCTTTTGATTGGTAGAATAAAAGTCAACATGATTATACGCTCCACTGTATATCCCTTTTGATTGGTAGAATAAAAGTCAACATGATTATACGCTCCACTGTATATCCCTTTTGATTGGTAGAATAAAAGTCTACATGATTATACGCTCCACTGTATATCCCTTTTGATTGGTAGAATAAAAGTCTACATGATTATACGCTCCACTGTATATCCCTTTTGATTGGTAGAATAAAAGTCAACATGATTATACGCTCCACTGTATATCCCTTTTGATTGGTAGAATAAAAGTCAACATGATTATACGCTCCACTGTATATCCCTTTTGATTGGTAGAATAAAAGTCAACATGATTATACGCTCCACTGTATATCCTTTTTGATTGGTAGAATAGAAGTCAACATACACACACCTTTTTCTAACCTTTTTGATTTATAGTCCCAGACTCCACCACACACCTTTTTTAAAAATCTATTTTTAGTTCCAGGAATACATTTTCATGATACTTTGCTAATTGTATTTTTTTTTCATTAGCGAATCTGTAACTTGCGTTACCAAATTAGATTCAGTGCCCTCTTCACATTGGTATTTTGGTATTTAGAGTAACAAGCTTTCACAAAGAGCGTTAGTTACATCTCGAGAGTGGTTAAAATAAACTACTGATTTCTAGCATGTTCACTCTAAACTCAGCATGCCCAAACTATATGTGGCACGACGCGTAGAACCCAACCCCTAATCTTAACACATAATTAAAAGTAGATAAATCATAGTGTAGGTTGGGGTTTTCAATTTGTGGGTTCACTCTCCGTTTTCAGATAGTAAAATGAGGTACTTTTAAATACATTTATAACATCAGTAATTGTGTACAACTTCATCTTAGGGTGATGCGACTCGAGAGAAAAAATACTCCCATTATAATGTTATTCGGGAGATTTTTTCATGCAACTATGGAAAATGAGTAAAATGCCTTGTAGTTTGTTATTGGATGGACAAAAGTTATGGAAAAATCTAGAAAGAAAAGCAGACTGAAATAAGAGTCAACGGGAATATGGTGAATATCATATTGACATGTAATAATGGTGTTGAAGAAAATCCGGTCCAACATTCCAATTAAGAAGGAAGAACATTTTGTATTCATAATCAATTAAAACACACAAATGCACTCACCTACATACAAAGAGATATTTATAAACGTGAGCAGATTTATAAGTTGAGCTACATGACCAGCTATTCAACTCAAAACAAGAGTATTGTGCGTCGATGAATGTGATACAAAGCGAGTTCACTCCTCTGTCATTCTACTGCAGAATTACTCGGAAAAGTCTTGCGGAGAAAATAAACTATCTCGAAAGCTATTATAAATTTCTCGTATACGTTGTATAGAGGAAGAATTGTAATAGTGCAAAGAAAAAAATCGAGATTTTTACAAAGCTCGACGTTTTATACACCTCCCTGAGTCGGAAAAACATACTTTTGCAATTTTGTCCATATGTCTGTGTGTGTGTGTGTATCTGTGTCTGTGAACACGATAACTTGAGTACCGTTACAGCTAGGTTGATGAAATTTCATATATAAGTATTATATCAAATTTGTAGTTTTGTTAAACTTTTCAGCGATTTTCGGTAACCGGAACTGGTACTTATTCTACTTTCAATTTTTCAAAATTTTATAACTTGAGATGGATAAATGAAATTTCACAAAGTAAAAGATTTTATTCTCTGCCTTCTGTCTTCTTCTTCTTCTTCTTCGTTCTTAATTTTTAGTATTGGGAGGGATCGAGCCTTATCTGCCAGAGGGTTTGAACTCGAGACTTTTTTTCGAATTTATCAACCATTACAATTAAGGATTACGTGTCAACTGGTTATGCGCCATTGATGCCATTGACTCCGATTTTAGCCTGCTTTTCTTTTTGAATTTGCTTACATAGCCTTTGTCCAATCAAGAACAAACTACAAGGCAGCAGTTGTTTGATTTTGGAGTTGTCTCTCCTAGAAGAGTGGCTGTCCCGAGCTAACGAGCCTCACCTGCCCGAGGGTTCAAACTCGAGACTTTTCGGTTTAACCATGAGCTTTACCGACTCGACCACGCCGACCTCTTGCCTTCTGTCAAATTTTGAGTAATTTCCGTTGACCGGAAGTAGTAATTTACGCTATTTCCGATTTCTCAAAAAACGCATGTGAATTTGTAAAGTACCAATAATATTCCGCACCTTTATACACATGTTGTTTGGCGTTCACTTGGTGCGCAATTCTTTATTTTCTACGAGATTTAAAAAGTTTAAGTAATTAATAAAAATCATGTCTATATCCCGAGTTGTCATCCCCCGTAGTGTTATATAAGATTATTCGAGAAAGTTTAGGGGAGATCACTCCTGTTTTATTTTTTATTTTTTCATGTCTCTATTGTCCACACAGTTGCTGTAAGCCGTCTTCAATCTTAAAACAAAAGGATGAAGGGGGATAACTGACGTTTAATAATAAAGTGTGTCTATGCAAAAAAAACAAGACGTAAAAATGTATTTTTAAACTTAACGTCATACATTGATGATCCATAAACAAATGAGTTTTTTTTTTAATTGCTTGATTTTAAATTACTTATTAAAACAATGATAATTAAAACTATGGTTTCTTTATAACAATGAACAAAAATCATTATTTTTGCCAAATTGATGCTGCTGTTCTTTATTCCAAATGCTCACGTCATGCAGCCTATTCAAACATTAGCTATGTTTAGAGTTCCTCTATGCTGCACAGTCATGGAAACTAAACAAGAAAGGAGAGAGCCGACTCAGAGGATTTGAAAGAAGATCCCTCCAACGCATTCTCAGAATAAAGTGGGACGACAAAGTCCCGAACAAGGAAATATGGCGAAGGACAGGATTAAACGACATTGTTTCAGAAGTTCGAACGAGGAGATGTAGATGGCTGGGCCATGTCCTACGCATAAGCAAAAGAAGACTCCCCAACATGGCGCTGAAGTGGACTCCGCCTGGAAAGCGAAACAGAGGAAGACCACTGGGAACATGGAGGAGAGAGATGGAAGAAGAAGTACAGGCTACTGGCAAGACCTGGCATGAACTAAAGTGGCTTGCCCAAGACAGAGTGGAATGGCGGAGATTTGTTGTTGCCCTATACTCCACAGGGAGTGATGAGGATTAAGTAAGTAAGAGTTCATAATAGTGGAAACAAAGTCACTTATTTTTTTTTAGAAAACAACCAAATTAACACACAACAGGACAAAGGAATGAAATATGAATGATAAAAACTAGTTATTAAAAAAATAAGTCAATTTTATTTTCTTTCCTAATTTATATTGAACACATAATCTTTTTTTATAATGATATACAAATCTTTTAAAAAAATTATATTGATATATACAACAGTTGACAACTTGAGTAATAAAAAAATCCTTGCAACAAATGTTAAAAAATAGTGTTATATTTGATAAGTAATTAAATTTCCCTTTCTGAACCAGACGGTTCATGGGGCAAGTAATGTAGAGTTCACCTGTATCTGAAACCTCAGCATATGGATAGATGGTGTGGTCAGCACTATGCCCAGCCGCCTTTACTTTCCCCAACATGAATTAGGTAATCATTGTATTAGATAACATTAACAATAATATCGTGTCCGTTTCTTTTCTTTTAAATTAATATTTAGTCCAATCAAACCTTATGTAACAAAACAATATTCGAAATACAAAAATATAATTCAACAACCAAAAAACTAATTCAATGAAATAATTTTAAAATAATCTATGGCATGTAATATAAATAAAAAATCAAACTGAAATATTTTAATATTTCTATGGCATATGTTTTTATAACAAAGTACGTAAAAATAGACAAACATAAAAGACTTGACTAGTTTTTTCAATGGCAACAACGCAATCTCCTGTACGTTAAAAAAAACTTGAATAATAATTTAAAGCTTTGATCATTTGATATAAATTTTAAAATATGAAATTAGATAAACAACCGCATCAGACATTTTTGTTACATGAAGTTACACTAAGTTTAGTAAATCAAAATTTACTACAGATTTTGAAACAAATTTTACGATACACGTCAGGAATACGGGTTTTATATCCCTTTTCTTTATCTTGCATAATAAATACTGGAATGTATATAAATGCATTTTCAAAGTTGTGTTTTTTTTTAAATTAAATAGGTTCCTTTGACTATATGATTCTTCTCTTCGTGCATATGGAAAAAAATGATAGCATCTGATGCATTTGTTAACACTGCTAAATGCTTTAGAAATAAAAATGCTGTGTTTAATTAAATCTTGTTAATGCTATTCATAAAGATCTGAAGTTAGGAAATTATAAATTGTGTACTAGAACTATGTTTGCTCCTGCCTCTATCTCAGTCCCTCCGGCCACACCCCTGAACCCCTCCCTCCTACACCTTAGCCCCTGCTACTACACCTAAATCACACATCCCACTTCCTACCCACACCCTCCCCACACCCTGCCTCCCACAGCAAAACCCCTCTTCCCTCCCCTCCCGCCTATGAATTTCCACGCTGACACAACAATCCCACAAGAGGTGGGAGGGCGAGATTGGGGGGGGGGGGGGGTGTTTAAAGATTAGACTACAAACTGTATTTAGCTAAAATGTATTCAACAAAGCTGTTCATAAATAAGTTAGACTGTGAGTTATAAATAAATTAGATTGTCTTCAGCTAAACGTTTTTTAAAGCGATACAGTAAGCTAGAGTTTCTTCCGGGCATCTCTTCGGGGGGGGGGGGGGGTCTGTGTACCCCTCACCCCCCCCCCCCCACCGAAAAGATTCTACCGCCCCCCCCCCCCCCCCAACGAAATGAAATTAGTATAATTTATATAGAAAATATATACTTTAAACAGTGACCGCCCCCCTCCCCCCCCCCCCCCCCGAAAATTTCAAGAGCCCCCCGGAGAAAAAAGTCTGGAAGAAACACTGCAGTAAGCTAAACTGTATTTACTTTCGTTGTGAATAATTAAGCTACGTTTTACTAAACTGTGTGTGGTGATTAGCAATTAATTTTATTGCTTTAAACAAATTTAAATTTACAAACATATTTACTCATTATAAAGCATGCACACTTCACTATGTTTTCAAGCAGTTGCTTCATAATTTTCATTATTACCTCCCCTGTCATATCATACTAGTAGGCTCTGAATTATTATCTTTTACAAGCATTTCGGAGCGAAATCCGCAAAATTAAGGACGATTTTTTAATAAGTAACAGATCTATTCGCGACAAGAAAAAAACTGGATAATGAATTGATTTAGTGTAATAAAAATCCAACATAATTAATTAAATGATAAAATATTTCACAAATCAATAATGTATCTAATTTTAAATTTTTTTTTTTATCTAAATATTCGGTAATAAATAGTTGAGTAATAAAACAAGGGGAGGGGGGTGCACCAGTTTTAAATTACATTTTTTAACACAGGCCCCATAATAAATAAAACCAATCGTACTCTCTGGCACCGTGCAGAGGCGTAGCGACCCCTCCCTGCGCCCGGGGACAAACTTTCGATTTGCACCCCCCCCCCTCGAACTTTACATTTGCACCCCCCCCCCCCCTCAAACTTTCTATTTGGCGCCCCCCACTAAGGTCGGCGCCCGGGGACATATGTCGTCCCCCCCCCGCCCCCCCCCCCCCCGCCCCCTCGCTACGCCTCTGGCACCGTGTATCCTACACACTGAAGCAAAAAAATATTCTACAGACAGATATGAACATGGCCAACTGTTTACATAAGAGGGATATCAAACACACGAAATGAGTATTGATTGTTACAGTGCTCATCATTAAACCTCTAGCTTGACTCTCGCGAGTCTCTAATATCCATAAACATTTTTTTACAGAAACAAAGCGGTGTAATATAAGTAAACTAAAGTTATTTTCCGGCTAATTAGAAATTTGAGTTTGAACCAATATCTCCAAAACAAGGTTATGCAAAACGTCCTTATAGTCATAAATCAGTCCTAAGTAGTGTTCTTTATCAGAGTTTCTTCCAGGCCTCTCTTCAGGGGCGCGGAGCCGCCGCCCCCCCCCCCCCCCCCCAACGAAATGGAAATGATATAGAAAACGTATACTTCTTACAGTGTCCGCCCCCTCCCACCTTTGAAATATTTAGTCAGCCCCCACCCCCTCCCCGAAAGGGTTTCAAGTGCCTTACCACCCCCCCCCCCCCTCCGAAGAAAAAAAGTCTGGAAGAAACACTGTTCTTTATCCGTATGGAGTTAAGGGTAAATTTTAGGATAAAAGTAAGTCAATAATAGGACTATAGCCAGAATTATAATCAGGACCAAAGTCTAAGTTAGGATGGTAAAAATTAACACGTAAAAATATCATCAATACAAACCAACTGGAAGAAATCGATATACCCTAAACAATAATACAAGATGAGATTCTCGAAAAAACAAGGCAACGCGCATGCCCGAAGCTCATCAGACGTCGTGTTCCTTCCGGTAGCTGAAGACGGGAATCTCGTAGGGTTCCACGGCGTAGTCCTTGAGCAGCCTGGGGCCTATCACAACCTTGTGCAGCTTGAGGTCTTCCCACACGCCAGACGGCACGAAGATGTCCCGTGTCGTCTGCTTCTCGCACAGGATTGGCGCCACAAGCAGGGAACTGCCGATCAGGTATTGGTCCTTGGCCTGCAAGGGAATGCCGGGAATATTTTGGTTATTGGAATTAGTATTACCTTGTTTCACACAGCAACTGCTTACTAGTGTGATTGTGATAAACATAAGAGATATGAAGATCGTATTTCTTTCTCTCTCTCTCTCTCTCTCTCTCTCTCTCTCTCTCTCTCTCTCTCTCTCTCTCTCTCTCTCTCTCTCTCATATATATATATATATATATATATATATATATATATATATATATATATATATATATATATATTATATATATATATCACAGTTTCTACACTCCTCGTTAATTGTCTCATATTTTCTTACTATATCGTTACGTTTTCTAGTGATGTACCATAGAGGCTGATGTAATAGGGTATGTTTTTTTCTATCTATAGTATGTATAGTCAGCTAAATGTAACGCTGCCTTGCATGTTCTCTACTTGAGTAAGGTACCCATTAAAGCTGCATTGACTCAAGTACGTCCAAAAAGACTGTATTACTGTTTAAGTTGGTGTTTATATGTTACGAGATGCATTCTGCCTTAAAACCTAGTCTTTTTGTGTATGTTCTGTTTCAAAGTGTCTTTTGGTGCCTTTTGTCATAAGGTGTAATCTGCCTTAAAGGTTCCAGTCAATTTAAGTAGAAGCTCAAGTCTCTTTGAGTAGAAGGTCTAATCTCTTTGAGAAGAAGGTCTAGTCTCTTTGGGTAGAAGGTCTAGTCTCTTTGGGTAGAAGTTCTAGTCTCTTTGGGTAGAAAGTCTAGCCTTTTGAGTAGAAGGTCTAGTCTTTTTGAGTAGAAGGTCAAGTCTCTTTGAGTAGAAAGTATAGGCCCTGTGAGTACATTCTAGTCCCGCTAGTCCCGTTGAGTAGGAAGTCTAATCTCTCTGCGTATCTTCTGTCATAGAGTGTGTTGTGTTTTGGTCTCTACCATGTGATGCAATCTAGTTTAGAACGTCTAATATCTGTGTACATCTTTTAGATACCCTGTCTTCCATCTAACAGTGTAATGCACATTTACATATTCCATCAAGCCGTAGCCTGATTTCTCCTAGCCTTAACTTGATGCTCTAGAGTCAAACAACCCTGACCTTCATAGCGTGGACATCCGGTGTTGGGTTAAGCCACCAGATTGGACGGATGATGGGCAGACCCGCCTCGACCTCCCGCCTCAGCTCCTCGCTGGCCAACGCCTTCTGCAGCAGAAGACGTTGAGTGGTCAGATTGGCCGCCATGATGGTGACATCCGGTCTGAAGCTCCAGGGCGGGATGTTGAACTGGTAGGCTGGGAACATGGCGGCCAGTTGGAGCCATCGGATGAACAGCTCTCTGGGGGGAAAGTTCAAGGTCAAGTACAAGTCGTAACGAAGAAAAACGCATTGTAATGTTTTGTTCTAAATTATTGTTAATGAAACTATATATCCTTTGACAACGATACTGTAGTTGATATTAAATATTTTTAATTATGAGATATTCTCAAGGAATTGTTTTTGAGTATAAATTATTTTTGCACGTAATTTTTGAGGAAGTTTTCTGACGTATTTGTCTAGCGTATCTTCTTCTTCTTCTTCGTTCTTAATTATTAGTGTTGAAGAGGATCGAGATTTATCTGCCAGTGGGTTTGAACTCGAGACTTAGTTCGAATGTATCAACCATGAGCTTTTTGCCGACTCGACCACGCCTCCAACACAATTAAGCGTTACGTGTCAACTGGTTATGCGCCATTGAGGCCATTGACTCCGATTTCAGCCTGCTTTTCTTTTTGGATTTGCTTCCATAGCCTTTGTCCAATCAAGAACAAACTACAAGGCAGCAGTTGTTTAATTTTGGAGTTGTCTCTCCTAGAAGAGTGGCTGTCCCCAGCTAACGAGCCTCATCTGCCCGAGGGTTCGAACTCGAGACTTTTCGGTTTAACAACCATGAGCTTTACCGACTCGACCACGCCGACCCCCCCAGTATTTTACTGACGTATTTTACTGACGTATTTTACTGACGTATTTTACTGACGTATTTTACTGACGTATTTTACTGACGTATTTTACTGACGTATTTTACCGACGTATTTTACTGACGTATTTTACTGACGTATTTTACTGACGTATTTTACTGACTTATTTTACTGACTTATTTTACTGACGTATTTTACTGACGTTTTATTCTGTCGTATATGTCTAACGTATTTTTGACGTATTTTTCTGTCGTATTTTTCTGATATTTTTACAGCTTTTTTTTTCAGAGCTACTTTTTTACCTTTTATTTATTTGCTATATTTTCTAGATAATTTTTCTTAAGATATCTTACTGTGGTAATTATAAGATAAGATATCATGAGATACATTATGTAATATATGCACCCTCCCCCTCCCGTCGCCCTTCTGTCGTCCTAAGTACACGGTTAGAATGTTAACCTACAACAATACAACCGTATACAATTACTCACTCCGAAGGCTTATTGCTGGAACTGAACTCAGGTTCCGTAGACTGCGCCCTAATACCATCCAACAGAATAAAAGGGTAGCCCATAAGGCCGAGGGTCAAGGCCGTATCTATGGCACCGGTCAGGCATTTGGTCTTGGAGTCCACTATAGCTGGGACTGGAACAAAGCCGGCCACGTGACGGGAATCCGACGTGTAGTCTACGGTCAGTAGTTCGGAGTTATTGCCCATTAGTTCTGTCATGAGTTTCCTATGGGGGGAAAAAGCGAAGTAAGTTGTATTAATCTCAAATCATAAATGAGCTATTTATTAAACTATAAGGCAACTCTAAGTATTATGGAAATATTTTTGATAATAGTATTTTAAAAACAATGGTTATAATACGTATGCATTATTTTTCACAGGACAATATTATACACTCTGGCAACATTAATGTTCGCATTTTTTGTGACAATACATCCAGAACCACTTAAATCCTCAATGATTATTTGATTAATTAATAACACGCAATTAGCAGCACTGTAAGCGGACGTGCTTCTCCTTTAATCCACAAAAACAGGACATCTTTTCCTTACCATGTACCCTACACACTTTATTTAAGGGGCAGTATTACCAAGACTAAGGGAGAGAAACAAATAAAATTCACCACAGAAAACTATTAGGGATACAGCTGTCAAACTTCCAAAGCAGTAATAATGATTCATTAACGTTAATGCAGCATATACCTGTAGGCGTATATACAAAGCAAAGTATTTCGAAATAAATTTAACACATATTTTTGATAAGTATTTGTTACTCTTTTGTAAACTAATTTTTCAACAGCTAGTCAATTCACTTCATTTCCGATATATAGAATCTAAAGAACAACAATATATAATTTAGTAACATGTATTTAAATTAACATAAAACATTTAGTACTTATGACAAAGAAATATTTCAAGCAAAGCTAAGACATAGACTGGGAACTCTCACTTAACTGAGAAAAAAAAAAGAAATATACAGGAAAGAAATAAATAAAGTATTAATTTTAATTTAGACAGTCTCAAGCCAAACATCACTCGATCAGCCCCCAAAGTAAATTAACATTAGAACAGTCTTCTGTTTCCCGGGTTTTAAAATGCACAACCTGAATGGTAGAAAGAGATACCCACCTCAACCCCCCCCCCCAACACACACACACACTCCCCCCCCCCCCCCCCACTCAACCGGACTGGCGGACATTTCAAGGTAGCGTGCCCTCATTGCCAAGGGTCAATTTTATGTCATGGAAAGTTTTGGAACGATAGATCAGTACGTGATTACAGAGACACTTCTCCCACGCTCGTTTCTATTTCTGTCCATGGGTGGCTACAGTGTGAACTTTTGACTCCACAGCACACTAAATTAAGCTGTGAAGAGAAACCTAGTTTGCACACCTTATTTTAATCTAGTTCTTATGCCATTTCATTTTTTCCCTTTGATTATTATATATGCAATTGATGTTCACTGTTCATGTCTTTGATGCTATGTAAAATCTATCAAATATATTATTATTACTGATTTAAATGTTTAAAACAATTGAATTAATAAAAAAAATAAAAAATAAAAATCTACCCCCTCCTCTCTCCCCCTCTATCCACTTTACCCCCAGACATGATAACCCCACAATCCCTTTAACTGTTCCAACGACCCCACCACCCACCGCAACATCAATATCCAGAACTTATTTAAAGTTCTAAATCTTGTCTCTTTCCCCTCATCTTTCACACTGCAACCTTTTGAAAACTAAATGCGACCACTACAACACCCTTTCAACTAGTCAACTTAAGTTGTTTCCCTACATAGAAAATGTTTCACTGTCCCATTGACCCTCTCTGAAAAATTTCCTTTCCTCTCCCCACCCAGACTTCTGACACTTTCATTTGACCTTCACCCCTTTTACTGTCATCCTTTGCAATTTTTTTTTTATAATCAAATACATGACATTATGTAAATATTCATTATGTACATTTGCAAAACCTTTCGTTTTCATTTGGTGTTCAAAATTATGTTTAAAAATTTGATGTTGATGTACTTGTTTTAATTGAAAATAAAAGTATTTAAAAAAAAAAAAAATGACAGAAAAAAATGTATTGTCATTTTAAATGTTTAAATAAAAAATTCTATAATTTCAATTTTCATCACAATGCAATTCCTTTAGGTCATGTTATAGATCATACTGTCAGTCAGCTTTGTGACTATTTAAAAAAAATATGTTAGTAATTTAGAAAACTGTACGTAAAACTAAAATAAGTAGCATATTTTTTAAAAAAATACATTCGATTTTTTTTTATTTCACAATTAATCGACACATTAACCAAGGTATTTGAACTTCGGTATTTCGCTTTCTAATAGTATTAGTATTATATATTTTACATAAACCGCACTAATACAATTGGAATTTTGTAGAGTTTGTTTTTTTAATTTAAAGTTTATTATCTTGTTCTGTTCAGATTTGAAAAATCGTAAAATTTTCACATTTTATCACAATGCAATTCGTTTTAGTTCCGGCAATAGATATCATTGTTAAACAGCTTGTCAACGATTTTCAGAAAAATCTATTTTATAGAAAATTGTAAGTTTAAAAACTTTTGGTTCAAATTATTAATATTATTATTATTATTTTTATTATTTGCACCATACAAAGGTCCACATTTATACGCTGTTTTATAGCTGATTCATCATAATCACTATGGTAAAAAATGTATGAGTGTATGTATAACATTTTTTTTTTGGCGGAAAATTTTTTTTTGTATATTTTCTATTGTCAGGGTGATACGTTCGCCTTAAAAATAAGATTTTCAAAGATAACCTTCTTCATTTGCACCAATAATTTCAACAAAGAACAAAACACACCAACCCCGACACCGTTTTCTCACCATAAAGCTGGGTAGATTTTTCAATTTAAAAGTGCGAAATTATGTTGTTGTTTTTTATTGTATGTGCAAGCTAGCAGTACGATCCAATTCGTCCGACCGTTTTTAATAGGAGATAATTGCTTTATACATTGTGGATAAACCATAACAATCGTCGTATTAAAACACTGCTATAGACCAAGCCAAGCCTAAATTAAATAATTAAAACATTGTAAACAACCACCCGAGAGGCGTAGCGATGGGGGTGGGGGCTGGCAGGGGGGGGGGGAAATATGTCCCCGGCACCGACCTTAAGGGGCGCCAAAATGGGTTTGAAAAAGTAATCGAAAGTTTGAGGGGGGTGCAAATCAAAAGTCTGAGGGTGGGGGGGTGCAAAAAAAGTTTGAGAGGGGGTGCAAATCGAAAGTTTGTCCCCGGGCGCCGGGAAGGGTCGCTACGCCTCTGAACCACCCCACACCCCTTCTCGTCACAATATATGCGCGACCTCATACGCCTCTGTATAATGTTTCAAACACTCAGTGATGTTAAAATTACAAAGTTCTTTGAAAAATGAAATATAATTGTCGTTACTCGCATCTGTAAAATTGAATTTTTAAAATTCAATTAATAGCTGCCTTTTTAATACAAAAAAAATGTGCGTGCTACTATAGTAGACCCAAGTATCCTGAACATATCGCATGTCATATCTAATGCTGATGCTGTCAAGTAATTGTTATGTGTAACAAGCTTGCACATACATTACGATTACTTAAAACTTGAAGACGACATATCGATTTTAATACCTCGAGAGCTTGGTGAATTTGGATATTTTAGAATCCTGAATCAAAATACTAAACAATCATTGACTGTAAAATAAACTCAATTATATTAGACATCTAGACCTAATTTGCAATATTGTAGTATGTGAAAATAAGTGAGGCGGTATTCGATCAGAGACAAAGACCAGTTGTCTAAGTACCTGAAAGTGCCAGGCATTGAGTCGTTCCTGTAGAACTGGGGCTTGTACGGCAGCCAGCCCTGTGACCCGTACGCCAGCCGGAAGGAATCGATGCCGCTTCCTTTCAACGCCTGTAAAAGCAAAATGCATACATTTATCATCAGGAAAAAAAATTGTATCCAATACAATTAAATTGTCGTACATGCTATATAAGTTATGTTTTGTAAACTTTTTTTTTTCAAAAAAGCACGGAAGCTAATATTATTAAGCACAGAAGTTAATATTGTATTACTATCCACTACAATAAATTACTATGCTTGTTTATCCTAAACAGTTTTTTAAAGCCCAAGAACATACTGTGCCGTTAAAATTAACCTAGCATTTAACGGTTTATTTTTTTTTTGGAAAAATATCACAGTCAGACTTCATTGGGATCCTGCTATATAACATTTTGACATTTTTATTTTGTAGCCCAAATGCGATATTTTGTAGTATGGAATAGAGATATGAAGCATAGTTCAAGAATATTATTTAAATGTTACACTCAGTCGAAGACAGAAAAGCCAATTATTTTGTTGAAAATACCATATAAGTTATGTGTTTGCTTTGCAATTAATATTAATACTCACTCCCACAAAAAGTCAATTGTTACCACCAAACGCTTGACTACTACCAAACCCTAGATCAACGAAAAACCCTAGATCACCAACAAACCCAAGACTATCTCAATACCCAAGAACATCACCAGACTCAAGTAACCCCTTACTTTAAAGGCAACACACTGCTGGAGTAACCACTTACTCCAAAGTTAACCACTTATCCCAAAGGTAACCACCTACTCCAAAGGTAACCCCAGAGGCGTAGCGAGGGGGGCAGGGGGGACATATGTACCCGGGCGCCGACCTTATGGGGGGCGCCAAATTGAAAGTGTGAAGGGGGGGGTGCAAATGAAAAGTTCGAGGGGGGGGGGGTGCAAATCGAAAATTTGAGGGGGGGTACAAATGAAAAGTTCGAGGGGGGGGGGGTGCAAATCGAACATTTGCTCCCGAAGGAGGCGCCAAATTGAAAGTATGTCCCCGGGCGCCGGGAAGGGTCGCTACGCCTCTGGGTAACCCCTTACTTCAAAGGTAATAAACTGCAAGAGTAACCGCTCACTCCAAAGTTAATCACATATTCCCAAAGGTAAATCTTTACTTCAAAGGTAACCCCTTACTTCAAAGGTAACCAACTACTACAAGAGTAATCGCTTACTCCAAAGATAACCACTTACACCAGAGTTAACAATGGTTCATGGTTTTCATCAAGCACCCCATTAAAATCTTGTACAAAAAAAAACTTACCTGCAGTTTCTTAGCGAACCAGGCAGTGGCTTGAGGGTTGGTGGCGTCCAGCACAGCAGCCAGACTACTCTGGTACCTGGTCAGTCCTGCGACCTCTCCCCCAGCGTCCTGAATAAAATATGACCCTGCCACGCCCTGGAGGAAAAAAAACTCTCGTAAAGCTGATTTACATTAGAAACAAAAAAAAAACATCTCGCCTAAAGCTTATTTACATTTGAAACAAAAAAAAACATATCGCCTAAAACTGATTTACATTAGAATCACACAAAAAAAATCTCTCCTAAAGATGATTTAATTTGAAAAGAAAAATAGTCTCTTCTAAAGCTGATTTACATTAGAAACACACAAAAAAGTCTCTCCTAAAGCTGATTAAATTCGAAACAAAAAAAATCGTCTCGCCAAAAGCTAATTTGCATTTGGAACAAACAAAAAATCTTCTCTCCTAAAGTTGATTTACATTTGAAACAAAAAAAAAACGTACTTTTAGAATCCATTTAATTAGCATTAATATCCGAACATTCGTTAACAAAAAAAAAAAACAAAGGATCTTCAATAGCTGCAGTCCAGTGGTTTAAACTTCAGATCAGAATTGGAGATGTTCTTTTTATCAGGTGAGGTTTGAGATTACACTTTCATAGTCTGATGTTAATGTTCTTGATTAAATCAGTTGGTGATTTTTATAAGACAAGTTGCATGAAATTGAGTAAGTACGCTGTGTTTTAGAATATTGTGTTGTTTAATTAAACAGCAAGTAATTAAGTAATTAAGTAACACGTGATGGTTTTGTTTCTAAAAATCAAGACGTGATGTATGGTATTAAGATAGGATAACTTTCATAAAACCGGAAGCTGTAGAATGAAAAATGGAAGCTAAGAATGGGACAGAACGCTGGTTAAAAAATACACTGAAGCTATTGAAAAAGACGGCGTAGCCGAAGCTATAGAGCCGAAAGTCTCGAGTTCAAATCCGGGTTCAACGTCTTATGAGTCCACCCAACTCTGATGGGTACCTAACTCACGTTAGGGAACGTAAAGGCGGCTTGGAAAAGTGCTGAGCACTCTTTCCTTTCATAGATCGAGGCCAATAAACATATGATCTCAAATTCATCTGCTCAATCGATCGCTAGGTATGAAAAAGATTCTGTACTCTTTTTTTATTGTGGAATATTGGAAACGGGTTGGTATTATGAAAATAAATATATAAATATATAAATATTATGAAAATAAATTGATTTAGCAATGAGATGTGATACACAAATATTTACCTCGTTAAAATTTTGAGTCGTGTACTTGAAGTAAGGGCTCACACTCAATACAATCTCGTTGCTTCTATTTTTAGCCGAGTCCATGAGCTCTGAAATATTCGGGAACCTCTGCGGGTCAAAGGTCAAATCCCCCGTCGTCCCCTCCCAGTCCACGTCCAGGGTCAACTTGTTATTGACGAACCCGTTCTCGGCCAAACTTTTCATCAGCGCCTCCACGTGACTCTGATTGACGGTGCCAGACTGGACAATGTCCGGCACCGACCACCACGCCCCACTGAACGCCACGTCGGGCGGGAACTTCAACGCGCCTTGCAAGGACATGTTCTGCATGTGAGTATGAGTCACAACGGCATCCACCCCTTTACACAGCGTGTAGTTGAGCCAGGCTAACTCCGTGGTGCTATCCTGGTGGTACAACGACCCGCTGTAGTTGGCCCGGATGCAGAGCATGTTGTCTCCGGTCCGGTTCCAAGACACCTGGACCGGATTGTCGGAGATGACGTAGAGGCCGGTGCCGGTGGAGGAGAGCCAGTAGAAGTTGACGGCCGCGCCGAAGACGCCGTCTCGTCTGGAGGAGGAGTGGGTGGGTTGGTAGACGAACTCCCCGCGGATGGGGTAGACGCTGTCCGAGTTGTTGGACGGTCCGTACCACTCGCCGTCTGCTACCTCGAAACAGTCGTACGGGGAATGCTGGGAAATGACAATGGAATTAAGGTTTTGCTTTGAACAGTTTACAGAATATCATAATCTGGGGTTTTTTTTTACGTCAATGTAGTAGTATGTGTATAATGCAAGTGTATGAAACCAGCTGGATAGAAGCAGGTTATGTAAGCAGGTTATGTAAACAGGTTATGTAAACAGGTGAATGTTGATGCTGTATGTAAGCAGGTTATTTAAGTAGGTGTATGTACGCGTGTGTATCTAAGAAGGTGTATGTAAGTAGTTGTATGTAAGTAGGAGTATGTAAGCAGGTGGTGTATGTAAGCTGGTGTATGTAAGCAGGTGTATGTAAGAAGGTGTGTGTAACCCGGTGGCGTATGTAAGCATGTGTATGTAAGCAAGTTTATGTAAGCAGATGTTTGTTGCTGCCTGTTGTTGCAGCTATATGTTAGATGTTATATGTATGCAGGTGTATGCTGTTCATACAATATTGCGTGTAAAATATTGGAATTAATTAATTAAGACAATCTGCAAAATGTGCACGTTTCTCTATATAAAACGATCGCATGTTAATCTTCAATGGGCTGATAACCAATTGAAGCATTTAAGCGTACAGAAATTGTTCTGAGTTAACTACAGACTATCGATTTTCTTATCAGCCCTCTACGCTACAAGGGTAAAAGGGAACGTTTGTGTATATGTCAGGTTTAGGGTCATACTCGGAATTAGCGTTAGCTTAGTGTAGAAACAAAACAAAGAAAAACACGATTTTATTAAAGATTTGGATGTCTTGTGCTCATCAAAAAAATTTGATATGAATAAATCAATTTAATTTTCTTGGTCATTTTTCTTCTACCCTAACCTCAAATTATTTATTTTCACTTCAGTCCTTAACGGCGATTGAAAAACCTCAGATTGAATACAAAATTGTTTTCCTTAACACATACTACATACTTAAATATAAATTCGTTTACTTAAGTTAAGGCCGTCTAGGTCCACACTAGAGTGGGCAGGACATTACAGTACCGTAGCTGTTACCTTTGATTTCAACACTGACCTCTAATGTTAACCGTCACCACAAAATATAGATCGTTACGGGTGGCTGCTGACAAGGTAACACACACACAGTGGTAGATTGGCGCCTTTTGTCACGGGGGAACATGCAGACATGCCTACCTGCATGTCAAATTCCAGGCACTGGATATATGCACTATTCGCTAGACTAAATTCTAGGCACTGAATATATGCACTATTCGCTAGACTAAATTCTAGGCACTGAATATATGCACTATTCGCTAGACTAAATTCTAGGCACTGAATATATGCACTATTCGCTAGTCTAAATTCAAGACACCAGATATATACACTACCTGCCTAGCAATGACAAGTGCATGTATTGGTAGTGTGTCCCCGTTCTACAAGCACTTACCTGTGCCTTGTCAACCCTCTAACAACCCTACATGCGGTGTCGACCCCCCTACCCACATGTACTATCCTACTTTTGGAGTCAACCCTCTACCAACCCTACCTTGATGTCAACCCTCAACACACCCTACACTACTCAAAATGCGGATTCAACCCTCTACCAACCCGCACTACCGTACTTATGGAGTCATCCCTCTACCAAACTTACCTCTGTGTTAACCATCTACCCTCCCTACCTGCATTGTCAACCCTCTAACCACCCTGCACTACCCTACCTCTACCAACCCTACACTACTCTACCTATGGCGCCAACCCTCTACCAACCCACACTACTCTACCTATGGCGCCAACACTCTACCAACAATACCTATCGTGTCAACCCTCTACCAACCCTACCTGCGGTGTCAACCCTCTACCAACCCTACCTATCGTATCAACCCTCTACCAACCCTACCTATGGCGCCAACCCTCTACCAACCCTAACAGCCGTGTCCACCCTCTACCAACCCTACCTATCGTATCAACCCTCTACCAACCCTACCTATGGCGCCAACCCTCTACCAACCCGTCCACCCTCTACCAACCCTACCTATCGTATCAACCCTCTACCAACCCTACCTATCGTGTCAACCCTCTACCAACCCTAACTGCCGTGTCAACCCTCTACCAACCCTACCAGCAGTGTCAACCCTCTACCAACCTTACCTATCGTGTCAACCCTCTACCAACCCTAACTGCCGTGTCAACCCTCTACCAACCCTACCAGCAGTGTCAACCTTCTACCAACCTTACCTGCCGTTTCAACCCTCTACCAACCCTACCTATCGTGTCAACCCTCTACCAACCCTAACTGCCGTGTCAACCCTCTACCAACCCTACCAGCAGTGTCAACCCTCTACCAACCTTACCTGCCGTATCAACCCTCTATCAACCCTACCATCCGTATCAACCCTCTACCAACCCTACCAGCAGTGTCAACCCTCTACCAACCTTACCTGCCGTATCAACCCTCTACCAACCCTACCAGCCGTATCAACCCTCTACCAACCCTACCAGCAGTGTCAACCCTCTACCAACCCTACCAGCAGTGTCAACCCTCTACCAACCTTACCTGCCGTATCAACCCTCTACCAACCCTACCAGCCGTATCAACCCTCTACCAACCCTACCAGCCGTGTCAACCCTCTACCAACCCTACCTACAGTGTCAACTACCCACCCTCCACAACCCTCCACCAACCCTGCTGTAACCTACCAGCGGCGTCAAGCTCTCCCACGAGACAGTATAACACTGAATGCCTGTGGCCCGTGTGTGGTCTATCCTTAGGATCGCGTGCTCCTTCCATATACACTCCTTGTTGTGTGGGTTCTTCATGACCATGGGGCAGTGGAGGGGCAGCTGCCATTGAGGTATGTCCTGACCCAACTTGCCCTGAATCTTGCTAGTGCTCAGCGGATCTGTGGAGTGCATACGTCAGTTGACATGGGAACTAACAACACGTCACATACATAAAACATGACACACGAAGAACTGGTTGTGGCATATGTTCACTATCATATTGCTGATGGTACTTTAGGACTTAAGGGGGAAGGCTCCGGTAAAAAAAACTTTTTTAATACTCGTTAGAAAACAGTTATTTCTATACAGCTTTATTAAGATACATCCGCAAATGCATTTCCACTAAAAAAAATTGGTGAAAAAATCTTGGTAACTATGACAACGGCGGCCATCTTGAAAAATTAACCCCTTCGTAGGTTTTCCACCATTCATAAAATATTACATTTTAAGCCCAATAAACAATCAATTCATAATCTTCTTCCATATTTTGGGGTAATCAGCTAAAAATTTTAAGTGCATATCTTTAAACTAATTTTTTATGAATTTTCAAAATTTGTGTCCGTTCAAAACACTAGTTTTAATGCCCCAAAATTCCCCAAAGTTAAGTCTAAATGGAAATGCATATGCGGATGTATCTTAATAAAGCTGTATAGAAATAACTGTTTTCTAACGAGTATTAAAAAAGTTTTTTTTTACCGGAGCCTTCCCCCTTAATACAGATAGAAAGGTTACATGAATCATTACAAGTTACTTGCGTGCAAAATGAAATGCAGTTTTTTGTAAGTAAGGGTTGATGAAGGTTTTAAAATGATCAACACGATTGAATTATAGTCTGCAAAACGACATGAACTAGTCATAATTTGTAATCTTAGGCTTTATATATTTGATGGCTGTTTCAAATTCCAATAAATTAAAATGTATACGAACTCTGAACGGTGAATAAGATAATCTGTCGTGATGATTTGTCATGTGAAATTTTGTCAAAGGATCTTTTTACTACAGATTTATATACATAGAACTTTTGTTTAATAGTAAATTAACGTGTCAGTAGTTCCAACTAAATTTAATACAAAGCTTCAACGATTGTACGAAGTGACTCATTTCATTTGCTTACCTGTTCTTACCTGTTAGTTATGTGTAAATTCCATGATCTTACCTGTGATCTTTTATCCTAAGTTTTATGTTTTTTCCTGTTCAAGTCTCATAAGTCTTATAAGCTTACCTGTTCGAGTTTTATGTGCTGTTAGCTTTATATCCTAAGTTTTATGTGCTGTTAGCTTTATATCCTAAGTTTTATGTGATGTTAGCTTTATACCCTAAGTTTTATGTGCTGTTAGCTATATATCCTAAGTTTTATGTGCTGTTAGCTTTATATCCTAAGTTTTATGTGCTGTTAGCTTTATATCCTAAGTTTTATGTGCTGTTAGCTTTATATCCTAAGTTTTATGTGCTGTTAGCTTTATATCCTAAGTTTTATGTGCTGTTAGCTTTATATCCTAAGTTTTATGTGCTACCTATCAGCTTAAATGCTAAGTTTTAGGTTCTTTCCTCTTTGGAGTTATATGCTAAATGTGTTCTTTTCTGCTAATGATTTATCATCTTACCTGCTAGAGTTTCATGAGTTTACCTGTATGTACTTACGTGTAAAAGTTGCATGTACTTACGTGTAAAAGTTGCATGTACTTACCTGTAAAAGTTGCATGTACTTACCTGTAAAAGTTGCATGTACTTACCTGTAAAAGTTGCATGTACTTACCTGTAAAAGTTGCATGTACTTACCTGTAAAAGTTGCATGTACTTACCTGTAAAAGTTGCATGTACTTACCTGTAAAAGTTGCATGTACTTACCTGTAAAAGTTGTATGTACTTACCTGTAAAAGTTGTATGTACTTACCTGTAAAAGTTGTATGTACTTACCTGTAAAAGTTGTATGTACTTACCTGTAAAAGTTGTATGTACTTACCTGTAAAAGTTGTATGTAGTTACCTATAAAAGTTGCATGTACTTACCTGTAAAAGTTGCATGTACTTACCTGTAAAAGTTGTATGTACTTACCTGTAAAAGTTGTATGTACTTACCTGTAAAAGTTGTATGTACTTACCTGTAAAAGTTGTATGTAGTTACCTATAAAAGTTGTATGTACTTACCTGTAAAAGTTGTATGTACTTACCTGTAAAAGTTGTATGTACTTACCTGTAAAAGTTGTATGTACTTACCTGTAAAAGTTGTATGTACTTACCTGTAAAAGTTGTATGTACTTACCTGTAAAAGTTGCATGTAGTTACCTGTAAAAGCTGTATGTTCTCACCTGTAAGTGAGAGCTTCCTGGTGCGTGGGTTGAAGAAGATGGCCTGGCTGGCGTAGAGCAGGTCGACTGCCATGTTCTTGTAGTACCAGGCCAGGCTGACCAGTATCACGGTTAGCAGGAAGAAGAACAGGACGAAGAAATGGATGCGGTACTTCTTGATCATCTCTTCTCGGGTCATCTCCATCTGTGGAGTGAGAGGTCAAGGTCATCGACTTAAGGATTGTTTTGTTGTCCACGGAGACAGTGGGTTTTTCATTTTAAGAAGAAAAAAAAATGTTTTAGAAAAAAGAATGTGTAGACAGTTTCACAAGTGGCGTTACGATAGATAAATGAAAAAAGTATTGTACAAAATTGGAATGTGAATTTGTAGAGCATACTTGTGAAGAAAGGATCCTTTGGATGTTGAGAACAATCTAAAACAATCTAATTATAACGTGTTGGTTTTTGTCAGTATACAGCAAAAGAAATATGGCGGAATGAAAAATTTTGAAAGGCAGGAAAATTAGGTATCATATATATATATATAAATATATATATATATATATATATATATATATATATATATATATATACATGTATACATACTTTAACCCTTATATATATCACAAGCATCCCACGAATCGACTTTATGCTGCAGGTTCAACAATACAACAGCCAGTGGGCGTGTCACTGTTGTGAGCTGGAGATTTCTACATACATCACTGACAGTAATTGTGTAATTAGCACTTGCATGTGTTAATTGCAACCTCGCTGGTCAAGCGCATATGTTTAAGTCCTGCCCCCCCCCCCCCCTCAACTCTCCCACATGAATTTCAAATTTGTTCTATATCCAGTAAGTTGATTAATCACATGTTTTTTTTGATACATTAAATTTATAAATAATTAACCGTGTGTGGATTGTGGTAGTGGAAAGATCCAGCTAATTACAGAATAAACACATGCAACGTCTGGTTTTTTTTAATTACATGAATGATTTAGTTTCTAAATAGTTAACCACACGTGAATTTTACTTGTGGATACATTCACCTTATTACTGATTCATCTCACAAGGCTATGGGTTATTTTTGGATCTTAAACCAGAGGCGTAGCGAAAGGGGGGGGGGGGGGGAAGGGGGTGCGGATCGCACTGGGTGACACCATTTAGGGGGTGACACCAAGGCAAAAAATAGTAAAATATATAGAGAAAAATGATAATTCCACTTAATTAAGTGATTAATTCGAGTGTTATATAGTGTTTTAAGAGGTGCAAATCGAAAGTTTGAGAGGGGGGGGGGGGGGGAGATTTAATTCGAAAGTGTGAGGAGGGTGCAAATTGAAAATTGAAAGTTTGTCCCCGGGAAGGGTCGCTACGACTCTGGGGGGGGGGGGGGGGGGGTGACACCATTAAGTGCCGCACCGGGTAACACCCGACCTCGCTACGCCACTGTCTAATACTTTATAACTGTAACATCATACACCTGATTCTTGAGGCTACATTAAGGTCACAACTGATTAACGGGACTACCCGTTATGACAGGCCTACAGACAATGTGCCATTATCTTGTAATAAAATGATTCCTCTACACGACACCTCGATCGGGAGCGTCTCCAATAAATCGATCAGCACAGGCACCAATAAATCGATCCAGACTTGACATGGGTTCTGTCCAGGTAAATTAGGCAGGTCAAACAACAGGGTCAAGTCATAAAGCATGAAACGTAAGCAGTGTAAAATGTACATAAAGCATGAAACGTAAGCAGTTTAAAATGTACATAAAGCATGAAACGTAAGCAGTCTAAAATGTACATACAGCATGAAACGTAAGCAGTCTAAAATGTACATACAGCATGAAACGTAAGCAGTCTAAAATGTACATAAAGCATGAAACGTAAGCAGTCTAAAATGTATTGTACGTCTGATAATGTAAACATGGAACTTCGAAGATTCCAGTAGTAAAGAAACTTAGTATGAATGCCTAATTATAGTCTAAATAGGTATACTAAAGCTACCTTAACAAATAGTTGTAATTATAGTTGATAATAGAAAAAAAATCATTAAAAACTTTGAGTCTAGCTTTCACTGACACTTGGAGATGTAAAACTACAGTTATTGTGGTATCATTAGAAAGTTCTGGATTGTTGTATTGTTGGTATGTGGTGTCTTAAGTGTTTTTCCCGTGCTGTTTAAAGTGGTGTCATCGGTGTTTTTTTTTTAACGTAGGAGGTGGTAAAGTTAACAAAAGTGTGATCGTAGCTTTTAACACTGGGGTGTTAATGGGTGACAGGTGTGGCGTCTTGAAACATTAGCACCTGGCGTTCGTTGATTACAATCGTGACATTAACCCAGATTTAAAGGCTAAAACATGTTACAAAGTTTGATATCGGATCTGGCAGTCAATAGAGCAAAGGAAGTAGAGTTCATCAGTTTCTTTGACCTCGGTTTATAAAACGATAACGTGATGATTTCTATGATCAGCCGTTTTTTACTTTCGTTAATTTGGGTCAGGTACCCATTATTGCTGAGTGAATTCAGGGGCGTTCCACAGACTCGAGCACGATTTGAGCTCGAGACTTTGTGGTTAGCATTCAAACGCTCTGCCGACTGACCATACCATCCCTAAAACTACTTTGTAAACAAAGACGATTGACAACGTCCCTTGCAATGCAAAAGCTGTTTTATATTTACAGTTACTCTACTCGTACACTACTACTGTAAAATGGAAAGATAAAGGTTTAAAATGTTTTACAGAAGAAGAAATTTTAAATATATTTTAAAAAATAACAATCAAAGATTATAAAACCAAATCAAATACAAAAAGTAGCTAAACAAACGCATGACCAGATTTTGACTGAACTCATTTTTTTTCTATTACTGTAAACACACAAAACCCATTCCATCAGAGGAGGGGACTTAAGGTGTGATAAAAACAAACAAAACCCAAATGTAACATCTATGTTGAGAACCACACATCAAGGAGTATTCGCATTGTTAAAGGGGATATAACTCCTTCAGAGAAACGGCATTCAAAACGTTATGTCATTCAAGGGAGACAATGAAATGTACCATCTAACACATTATGAAAAAAAATTATGTCTTTCATGTACGTTTGAAAAAAAAAATTGTTTTTCGAAATTTCTTTGAACTTTCAATGAATAAAAAAATTGAAATGGGAGATATAGTTTGAAAAGATATTCCAATGCAATATAATAGCAGTAATGTGATATGTATTCCACGCAGGGGCGTCATTTGGTGGGATGTCATCCGGTGCGGTAACTGAGAGGAGGGGGGGGTTACCCCAACCACTGCCCCCTTTTCCACTGCCCCCTTTACCACAACCCTTTTTGTTCTCTTCGCCAATTAGGCTAGACCCTTTTTACTATTTTTTTTCCTTCTTTGTATATTTTTTTTAACTAAGCCTGTTTTAGTTATACCTTAATCAAATGTCAAGGGACTGTCGTATTCAACGTCGTGTCAGCGGCTTCGATATTAATCTCTAGGGTTTAGTCTTCGATATTAATCTCTACCGTCTAGACTTCGATATTAATCTCTAGCGTCTAGACTTCGATATTAATCTCTAGGGTCTAGACTTCGATATTAATCTCTAGCGTCTAGACTTCGATATAAATCTCTAGAGTCTAGATTTCGATATTAATCTCTAGCGTCTAGACTTCGATATAAATCTCTAGCGTCTAGACTTCGATATTAATCTCTGGCGTCTAGACTTCGATATTAATCTCTACCGTCTAGACTTCGATATTAATCTCTAGAGTCTAGACTTCGATATTAATCTCTAGAGTCTAGACTTCGATATTAATCTCTAGAGTCTAGACTTCGATATTAATCTAGGGTCTAGACTTCGATATTAATCTCTAGGGTCTAGAGATTAATATCGAAGCTAATGGTAGTCTAGACCAGGTTAGGGTAGGGCGAAGTTGAGTTCAAGTCACCAGTTCTGTCACGTGTTGTTGGAGGTCGTCTAGTTCGATGCCAGAAAGTAAGACAAGCTGGTCTTTTTCACCCACACACAAATATATTATAATCATCCGTAAAACCTACTTCGCCTACAACGATGAACAGCCAGGTTTAAAATTGTATCCAATTATATTTGTATGTATACTTTATATATGTATATTCGGTGTACACTTTGCTCTTTAAAAAAAATGAACTTGAAATGGGGTCATGTAGTTGGAATAAAAATGAGATTTCCTTTCAGATATAGGTATCTTGCCTAAAGTATTGTTAAACGGTAAATATGTACACACAAAACTATCACATTTTTGTAACGCTGCGATAAACTGTTACATGTAATAACAAAGGTAGACATAGGTACTTAATAAAGTCCTAGCAAAGACAGAGTAAATTACAGCCAAAATCATCTTCTATTACATGAGTGTTCCTATTGTTCGCACTACAAAATAAACCATTCAACTTTTCTTATTAAGCCAACACGTTTCTTGTTGTAACTGGCTGTATCTTTTTGTTGTGGTACTGGTATTTTCGGGCTAAACACACTGGTGGAATAATAAACGGGGTGATATGATTTCATTAAGTGAGGGGTAGAAATGGATAGAGAATGGTCAAGTGATAGCTCTCAGCACTAGAGACATGTCTAGGATTAGAATGGTCAAGTGATAGCTATGGCATTAGAGACATGTCTAGGTTTATAATGGTTAAGTGATAGCATTAGAGACATGTCTAGGTTTAGAATGGTTAAGTGATAGCATTAGAGACATGTCTAGGTTTAGGGTCAGGATGATGTGGAGACAGACCTGAGACATCATGAAGTCCTAGCATGGAAGAAGAAGACAACAGACCAATCACAATGAGAGGGTGTGGTCAAGCCGACCAAAGCCCTCAATGAGGGGTATTAGCCGGATATAGTTTTTTTTATTACTAAATACTACCTATTGCAACGATGTGGTCGAGTGACGAGCGCTTTACTGCTAACCCGAAAGTTACGGGTTCGGATCTCGAATTCGAGTCTGTAGGGCGTCCCTGAGGCCACCCAGCTCTAATAGGTACCTGACTCACGATAGGGAAAATAAAGCCGGCAGGGAAAGGTGCTGACCACACCATCTCTTCAACAAACATAAACTCTACTACAACAACACTATAAAGCGTTAGTTTTAAAAGTGGAACGTACTTATAAATACTACCAGATAAATAGCGATGGAATGTTATATTTGGTGTTAGCATTGGTATCA